GTGTGGTGTGTGGGGGTGTGTTTAGGGGTGTGTGGTAGAATTTGTATGTGTGTGTTTTGGGGGTTTGGAGAAGAAGAGACCGCAATCAACATTGCAGCAATAACTCCTCGTTGTGACCGGGTGTGGAAGTGTAATTGCTCATTACCTAAAATTTGTTAGATTGCAGCATTATAAACGTAAAAACCCCATTCTTACAGTATTCATTACCTTTGTAACTTGTAGTTCATTCCCTTTTGTAACTTGTGATTCTTACCTTGTTCCCCCATAAAAACTTTGGAGCCCGGGGGGGGGTTTCCCGGGCCCCATTGTGTCCCATGTAATCTGTAAATACCTTTTGAATTTTGAAAAGTTTGTATAGACCTACCATTTCTTACCTTTGTAAATTTGAGTTCTTTACCTTTGAAATTTGTGAATTTCATTCCCTTTGTAACTTGTCAGCTACAAAATTTTTGAGGCCCAGTCCCTGGACCCATTATGACTCTGTAATCTTTTGACTACGCCCCAGGATGGGGATGGGGTGCATAAAAACAATTAAACTCTAACCACAGATCGATTAAATTTGGAACCCTAACCCACTTTCTTCAATCAGTCACTTAAATTTTTAACAATTAAATTCAATTAATTTTTCACTGATTTTATCCCCCTTCAAAACCAAGGGCAGAAGGAAAAATTTTTTAGGGGGTTACCTTATGACCCCAACATTTCATGCATATGAGTAATCTCATTGGGAGACAACAACTATATTGTTTACCATAGTCACCCCGTGTAGACATGTGAGAAAACTTAACCACCCCTGGTCACTGCAGGTGGTCCCTTCGACCTCACAATCTTATCCATATCTATCCGAGAGTATAAACTGGATAGCACCCACAAGTACAGCGCTACTAATTAATTGTGGACTGTATAGATTATATTAGTTTAACTGAATGAAGGGGGGGGAGGGAGGTTACACATGGATATATCCATCAAGGAAAAACACTTACATATAACCCCACCACTTACCAGATATTCTCTGGTGGTCACTTGATGTAGCTGGATCACCAACAACCAATCCAATTACAATATACCTAACTGGCCAGTATCAGTCTGCTATAACTAGAAGGGTTACTTAACTGTGGTTGATTGATGCTCCTTATTTCCTCCATTCACCATCTCATTTCGATGTCCTGCTACACCGACATGGTTCTTATTCCAGCAGGACGAGTCATCCGTTGGTTTGTCCCGGTTTAGAGGTCGTGACTCCATAAAAACTTCACTATCCTCGGGACAGGAACACGAGGTAAACAGATGCTCACTCTGAGAATGGTGACTCATTTCACTTCACACATTCTCTTAACTTGGTGTTTTTTTTCACTGATTACTTCTTAGCCCACCATACGGTTTAATGTCTCATAATTATTATACACATTGGAGGCCACTCCATTAAGATCTAAGACCAATGAGTGATGATTAAATCACGGGTATTTTTCCCCAGAACACACTCCATGGCGACGCGACAGTCACCAGCGGTCCTACCATTATTCACTAATTTTGCCACTTTATTATGGTGGTCCCGTAAATCACGTTCCCTCACTCTTCACCAGGAACAGTTACGACACTTCCTATTATGAAGTGACTCCTATATTAATCCTTAGGCCGCCGTGAATGCCAATTTCCTGGTCCCATGTTTTCCCAGCCTCTTAACTCCATTGCTGTATAGCCCTTGTGGCTTAGTGCTTCTTTTTGATTATAATAATCTTAACTCCATTCCAAACACTCCCGCTTCCTGATGCCCCATCTCAACCTCTCCCCTGCCCATCAGCGCAGGTGCAGAGGTTCCCTGTTGGTTCTATTCCATTTTCAAATACATTTTTGACCCATATTGACACGTTAAACACCTATTAGGCACTATAGCTTCGGAAGATTAAAATATTTTCCACAAGTGTCATCATGGGCTTGGCATCCTTAGTTTTGAAGGTTCTCATTATCCACAGTCCCACCAACAAAAATTAATATGACTATTCACCCGGGTTTTGGGGGTTTTTGGGGACTGATATTTTCCCCTCTCCCGATTCTCGCAGAGGTGTGTCATGGGGAATCAGTTTTGTTTACTAATGATTGCTATGAGATGGGGGTGATAATGTGATGCTTCTTTCTAAGTAGAATTTAACATGTAAAAATTGTTTTTCTTTTTCTTTGCACTCCTTCTAGAAAATGTAGTTTCATTTATTTTTTTTTTTTTGGTGTCACATATAGTTTGGTCTGTCTTGTAGCATACTGAGCTGTGGTGTTACTTCATTAAAACGACATTCCTCAGGAGTACTTATGTACAAAGTTAAATTGCTAGTTTATAAGGTTTCTTGATGTAATTTAGATAAAATGCATCGAAGCCAGTGCCTGGCCAGGGCTGTGTTGTGATGGTGACTTTTCCTAACACAATTATCTAAGAGCATGACTGTGGGCTCTTTTGGCATAGAACTTGATCACTTTTATGTTCGGTGAGTTTCACATGTTAGCAGTTTAGTAACCTCAGTTTGTTAGTATTGCACATTTGTACTACCAAAAGACTGATTGCCTGGTGGTCAATCCCCAGTAATCATTTTGCCCATTGCCTCAGACCTTAGTATGGGGTTTATTTTTTCTTTTTCCTTGTGCCTAGCGGTGTCCGTTGGGATCCCACAAGCAGAGACCTATGGTCTGGGGGTGGGGATGTTATGCAGGGTTCTGCATGACATTATTATGTATATACTATAGAGAAGTGTGCCATAATAGTATGAATGTTATAATTGTAAAGCTTAATTTTATAATGCTGTATAGTCCTTGAGGTTTAGCACTTCTTTTTTATAATAATAATAATTGTGGAAAATTGCATTTATCTGAATGTAACTCATTATGTACATAACAGTAAATGATAACAAAGATAATTATTATTTATCAGAGTTACATAGACAAGTAGGAATTTGGGACACCTAGGTCGCAAAAATGACCCCCTTCGATACCTACCACTGTCATATCCACATGTTGCTCTAGACCTATTAATTACAAATGCAATGTACATACACCAGGAATTCTGGTAAATATATAAATTTGTGGACTGTGTATTAAAATTAATAAGTGATTATATATACACACATTTACATAACAGAAGGAGAATATATCTTAATATCACTCACCAATTTGACTGGAGATTAATGTGTATCATACTCAGAAAACCTCACTGTCTATCCATGAAAATAACACTGGCCAGAGTTACAAACATAAACAAACTTATCTGAGGTTCCTGGAGCTGTCTTGTCCAGTCGCCTGATATCTCAAGTTATGCAGGAATGTACATCCAACAATTTCGGCTCCTATTTGAGAAGTGTCAACCCAATTTTACCTCTAGAGCACGAAAATTCTTCACATTATTCACTAACGTTTGTGTTGACCAGTTCAAACATGGCGAGT